AGTACAGAGCGTGCCTCAAGAACATCCGATGGAACAAAAAGGAACTCTTCGAGAGGAATGACTAGATGCTGACTGGACAAAGAGACTAGAGCCTTGGGTCCTCCTACAGTTGTCAGAGCCACGCGAGGGAAGCTTGCATAGCCCAGATCAGCCGGGCTTTAAATCAGGAAGTTTGTAGTTCCTTCACATTTGCTAGGACAATACTTACAACAGGAGAGGGTCTCAGACTACTGCATGGAACCGAGAAGTACGAGAAGCCAAAGCTGCAGAGCAGACAGAGAAAGCGTACCTGGGATCTTTTCTGGGAGTGGCTCAGAAGGAACTTCTGGAAGCTCCATCTGTTCCTGCAAGAACATTAAAGACAACACATGACACACGCCCCATGTACCAGGCGGCAGCCGCAGACTCCTGCACCAGAGTTTTGTGTAAAGACTGTCTGGGAACAGAGTAATAATGTCAGAGATTTCACATACAAACCGACATCTGCCTCCAGAACTGCAGGAAGGGTTCTGGGATTCAGTACTGCCCAGTAAATGAGTACAAGGCTTTTTTTTATTTTACTATTAAATGAGACTTAATAGGGCCCTGCATTGACTCCGAGTCTCCTCAAAGCAATGCTAGTTGCAGAGCGTCTCCACCTCAGTCTCCACTGGCTGCACATCTCCTACAGCGCAGCCAAACCGGGGCAGTGTTTGACAGAGCCACAGGCACCAGAGGTGGGTGGGGATGGTAACGTACACCGAGTGCTGCTATCTGAGCACCATCCTGGACTTTTAAGATCTTCATCTGGTGAAGTGGAATAGATATCCAGTATGAACAGAGATCAACTGACTGTAACAGACAACAAACAACGTACAATCCTTAAAAGCATCCCCTTTTTAAACGGCCCCTGTGTGGGGAGCGATTAGCTTGATCTTTGATGGCACAACAATTGGGCACAAACAAGTATAACTGAGATCTCCTGAAATGTGGATTTAAAGCAATTACAAGAACATCAGTCCTACCTGAGTAATTGCGTTTAATTCTTCTAGAATGGCATCTTCATCTTCCTCAGTCAGGCTGCCAGCCAGTAGCTCATCTATTTGCTATGAAAGAGAGGAAAAGACATATTCCAGTCAACAACAGCGTAGCAGAAGCAGCTCTATGGCTTGTAGCGGGGTACAGGCACAGGGGAGAACAACGTGAACATGGGGTGAAGGGGTACTCAGAAAAACTAACAGAGCTAATTTTTCTGCAGGTAGCTGAGATTTAATTCCCAATCCCATTGGCTCTTAAGGCTGGGAATACAGCGCACATCAGAGAAACTCTGTATGGCAGGCAGCGTCTGTTCACAGCAACTCATGCAAACAGTACATACCCTCTGGTACTCCACAGCATCTTGGGTTTCACCTATTATTCTTTCTACCTCTTCTATTGACATAACCTGAAGAAAGGAGCCAAAAGTCCATGCATGAGTGAGGTCTGCAGGGAGACAGCTACCAACAGCCAGGACTCTGTCTAGTCCAAGGCAAAAGCGTGCTCAGCTGACTTGGTCACACACACCTGGTGCATTTTGTTCAGACACTCATTGCCTATTTTCAGGCCCTCAATGACCTTCATTTCAATCTGGGTGAATTCAATATCCTGGACCTGAAACAGAAAGGCAAAGGGGAAGCATCACAGGCTGTCACATTCCCATCGTTAGCCAGATACAGACCGCCAAGATCCTCAGAGACACTGCACGGAGAAATCAATCAAGGGCCCTTTCTCTAGCAAACAGAGAATTAAGTTATCCCAGTAATAAGAAACATGCGCACAAAAAGCCTTGACACAGGCAGCTGCAAAAGCATATCCAAACGCCTTTTAACTGATTTTCTAGCTGACAGTCTAAGCTGAGGCCACAGTTCCCACGGCCACCCTGGAACACACACATCCGTTCTGAAATCAAGGTACCGAGGCAAGCCCGAGGAAGTTTCTACAGCAGCTGCCCGCACTGTGACTAAAGTTTCCCTAATTTACAAAACATGTATTTAACACGTAACCTGTGCTACAGACTCAGAACATACTCACTGCCTGGTTCTTTTGGGAAGACTCACGGTACACGTGTGACTTCAGAGACATCTGCCCTTCGCACAGAGGACTAAACCCCCGTCAGGACTTGCCAGTTAAATGCAGTTCCACGCAATCAAAAGCAACACCCACCCCAGGAAGGAGACTTATACCAAGCGCACCCGGCAGACCACTCGCAGCCAACAGCAGCTGATCCTTGCTTACCATCCGCTCCAAGTTGCTGATTTGGTTTTCCGTTTTATCTAGAAGTTGCTCTTGGTAACGCTTCTTCTTTAGCAAGAGCATGGCTTTGCTGAAGGAAAACAGGAGGAGGAAAACTCAGCACAAATGAAAGCAAATAAGCCTAAAAGAATCACATCAAAGCCATATTTGTTCTGTGCTTTTTTCCAAAAGAGGATAAAACCACATGCAAATTAAATGACAACTCCGAACTGCTCCTGTGAGGAATAAGGATGAGCAAATTAATCAGAAAACGTGCTAATCTGGGGCCTGAAAATTTAGGTATATTTGCTGCGGATTAGGAGTTCACTGGGCCAGCTGTGCTGCAGCAAGGCAAAACGAAGGCTTTGCCACAAAAGGCTTACGATACACGCTCAAAGCGAGATGTAAGAGACGGCCACCGACAGGCCTCCATCCACGCCACTGGCGCTCGGTGCCAAAGAAAGAGAAACACTTTTCGAGCTGTTTTCACGCCGCCCGCGGCACCCAGGCAGCCTCTCCCGGTTCTCAGCGTACAGCTTTGAAGTTCCTCCCTCAAGCAGGATCTGTACCCATCCCCACAGCCCACCGGTACCCGGGATTCCCTAACTTCTCCTTCCCAGGACAAGGCCCCTCTATTTCGCACCGACGCCCCCCGCTCCGCACCCCCCGG